AAGATAGGTTAAAATAGCAGAGTATTTATATACAATGTCATCTCCCTAACAAGACCCATCACTCTCAATTCACTGGTTTCACTGCTTCTCAGGAGCTACCAAAAATAGAGCAAAGGAATGGGCAACTTCATGTATCTACAAACAGATGAAAGGTATGCTTTTTGTGAGCAACAGGTAAAGCTAGAAAGGATCAATGTCTCAGCCAAGTAGGGTAGGAAAACCTCCAAGTGGGAAACAGGCTAGTAGAGCAATCAGCACATTACAGCTGGCACACAATGTGAAGGTTAGAGGGGAAGACTGCAGCTTGGGATATCTGAAACCCACAGTCTATGAATGAACGCTGGCTGTTGGCAATAAGGAGCCTAACATGTATATCCATTACCTGTTCCCTGCCAGGAGTTACACATCTTTCCTCCTATCCCTATTGTCCCTCTTGCTCTCACTTTCTTCACAGAACTTCTCTATAGATGATTGGAAGTATGGCCACCAAATGAGATAGGGTACTACTCCACTTTTATCCTCGATTTGTTTCCCTTTGCTCAGATTCCTGCATTTTTAAAATATTTTCCTCTCTGCTCTTCTAGCCTGCGTGTTGAATTTAAATAGCTGAGACCCTATAAAGACAAAAGAAAAAAATGTTTGGACTTCTGCTGTATACATGTAAAAATGTATACTATGTTATACTTATTAGGATGGCTAGTATCCAAAAAAAAAAAAAAAATCAAGTGTTGGCAAGAGTGTGAAGAAATCAGAACTCTTACATACTGTTGGTGGAAACGTAAGATGGAACAGCCGTTGTGGAAAACAACTTGGCAGTTCCTCAAAATATTAAAAATAGAATTACCATATGACCCAACAATTCCATCTCTGGATATATATCCCAAAGAACTGAAAGCAGGGTCTCAAAAGAGATTAGCTGCACCCCTGTGTTCACAGCAGCATCATTCACAATAACTGGAATCAACCCAAGTGTCTAATGACATGAATGGATAAAGCAAGTGTCGTATATACATACAATGGATTATTCAGCCTTTAAAAGGAATTTCTGACATATGCAACATGAACCTTGATGACATTATGCTAAGCAAAGGAAGTCAGCCACAAAAAAAGACAAATAGTGTCCACTTACATGAGATACTTAGAGTAGTCAAAATCATAGAAACAGTAGAATGGTGGTTGCCAGAGGCTTCCAGGTGGGGGTGAGGTCATTATGGGGAGTTATTAATAGGTATAGAATTTTAGTTTCACAAGATGAAGAGAGTTATGGATGATGGCAAGGGATGTACAACATTATAAATGTATTTAATACTGTACACTTTAAAACGGTTAAGATGAGGGGCACCTGGATGGCTCAGTCAGTTAAGTGTCTGCCTTCAGCTCAAGTCATGATCCTGGGGTTCTGGGGATAGATCCCCTGTATCAGGCTTGCTGCTCAGTGGGGAACCTGTTTCTCCCTCTCCTTCTACAGCTCCCCATGACTCTGCTCTCTGTCAAATAATACAGTCTTCAAAAAATAAATTTTAAAATAATAATAAAATGGTTAAGACAATAATTTTTTTTCTTTTTTTAAAGATTTATTCATTTATTTTAGAAAGAGCATGTGTGAAGGGGGGGGCAGAGAGAGAGGGGGAGAGAGAAACTCCCAAGCAGACTCCCCACTGAGCAGGGAGGCCACTATGGGGCTGGAGCCCAATGCAGGGCTCGATCCCACAACCCTGAGATCAAGACTCTAGCCGAAACCAAGATATGGATGCTTAAGAGACTGTGTTACCCAAGCACCTCCAATGACAAATTTTATATTAAGTATTTTGCCACAATTTAAAAAAAAAAAAAAAGTATGCCCTGCTCAAGAGCAGGAATTATAGTAAGCAGAAATAAAAAGTTGTGTTATTTTTTTCTTGGCTCCTCCGCCAATACATATTAGGTACCACCATGCTATGGTCAAATTGGACTATTTACCATTTCCTGTGAACCTGTTCTACATTTTCCTGCCTCACTCCTGCTGTTTTCTTAACCTAGAATGCCTTATATGGCTGCCCCTCATTTTAGTCTAAAACATTCCACTTTCTTCAAGAGCAGCAAAAATGGCATCTCCAAGAACCTGCCCAAAAGAGCTAACGTCTCTTTCTGTCCGCAGTAGCTTACTCAGACCTCTATTTCCAAATACTCAGCATCCTTGAACCATGACTGCTTGTGTGTGTGCTCTTTTACTGCAGAAGGACATGCTCAGGGATCCCCAGGTGGCTCGGTGGTTTAGCATCTGCCTTCAGCCCAGGCCATGGTCCTGGAGTCCCGGGATCGAGTCCCACATCGGGCTCCCTGCATGGAGCCTGCTTCTCCCTCTGCCTCTCTCTCTCTCTCTCTCTCTCATAAATAAATAAAATCTTAAAAAAAAAAAAAAAAAAAGAAGACGAAGAGAGGACAGGCTCAAAGCTTCCGTATAAAAAGCTTGTGTTTTCTTAAAAATTAGAAAGATGTTCATATCTCAGTGTTGCTTAAAAGGTAAATGAAGATTGGAACTAGGGATCCCTGGGTGGCGCAGCAGTTTAGCACCTGCCTTTGGCCCAGGGCGCGATCCTGGAGACCCGGGATCGAATCCCACGTCCGGCTCCTGGTGCATGGAGCCTGCTTCTCCCTCTGTCTATGTCTCTGCCTCTCTCTCTCTCTCTCTCTCTCTCTCTCTCTGTGACTATCATAAATAAATAAAAATTAAAAAAAAAAGAAGAAGAAGATTGGAACTAGATGTCATCTAGAACCCATTGTTTCAGCCCTAAGTCAAACAATCAAAGGCTTTTTCCCTTGGTACCTCAATGGGCTATATAGAAGCACAGGCAAATCTTCTGTTCCATTCCCAACTTGGCTCACACCAAGTGAGCCACGCCAGCTCTTCAACCCAAAATTACTTAGAAAACTGAAGTATTCCATCCTCAGGCAGAGGACTGAAAGCAGAGAGAGCAATACTTGGATATATTCAGCAATATATTTATAAGTAAGTAACAGAGTTTCCAAGCAATGTCTTCTTTGGGTAGCCTGCAATTTCTACCTCATAACCAAACAAAATCATCAAAATATTGTCCATCTACAGAGCAGTAGTCCCCATTGTGTGGAGTTCCTAAGACACTGCCTACACATGTGCTGTTCTTACTTCTTGGCCGGCAGTCCCTCATCCTTATCCCCCTTGTAGGCCTAGCAAACACCTCAAAAACCGAGGTAAGACGGGGATGCCTGGGTGGCTCAGCGGTTTGGCGCCTGCCTTCCACCCAGGGTGTAATCCTGGGGTCCTGGGATCGAGTCCCACGTCAGGAAGAAGTCAAATTCTCTAGGAAACCTTTTTTGAAAAAAAAAAAAAAAAAAAAAAAAAAAAGGAAAACTTTTTTGACCACTTGGAGAAAATCTTTTAGATTTGATAGAAACAGACGGCATTCAGTAGTGTTTATGGTATCAGTTAAAATTAGAATAGGGGCACCTGGGCAGCCTGGGTGGCCCAGGGGTTCAGCGCTGCCTTCAGCCCAGGGCCTGATCCCGGAGACCCGAGATCCAGTCCCGCATCAGGCTCCCTCTGCCAGTGTCTCTGCGCCTCTCTCTCTGTGTCTCTCATGAATAAATAAATAAAATCTAAAAAAAAAAAAAAAAAATAGAATAGGGGCACCAGGCTGGCTTAGTCAGTAGAACATTTAATTTTTGATCTTGGGGTTGTGAGTTCAAGCCCCACCTTGGGTGTAGAGATTACATAAAGATAAAACCTTTAAAATAAAATTTCACAAAATGTCTAGGATCAGACCTGAGATACCTCTAATATTTCCATGAGACGGTCCATTTACTTTTCGTGAAACGATTGCTTTGCTTTTTTTTTTTTTTTCTGGATTCAAATCCTGTAAAAGGAACTGCCTTTTTAAAGTCTTGTGGTTTTGAAGCAAATAGCGGATGCAAAAAGCATATGAAATTTCAACACTGCCTTTAATCAACCTGTGATTTTAGACAACTAGACTTAGACTCCCTGAGCCTGTTTCCTATTCTTTAAAACGGGTGTCCACCTAGTACAGTTCCTCACACACAGAAAAGCCCATAAAAATTGAAAATCATTTATTTAAAGATTTTAGTTATTCAAGAGAGACACACAGAGAGGGGTGGGGGGGGGAGACACAGGCAGAGGGAGAAGCAGGCTCCATGCAGGGAACCCGACCCAGGACTCGACTCCGGGTCTCCAGGGTCACGCTCTGGGCCGAAGACAGACGCTCAACTGCTGAACCACCCAGGCGTCCCTGCTTCTTACTTTTTTACTGTGGCTTTCAGAAAATTTTAAATTATATGTTTAGCGGTTGAACACCTGCCTTCAGCCCTGGGCGTGATCCTGGAGACCCGGGATCGAGTCCCACGTCGGTCTCCCTGCACGGAACCTGCTTCTCCCTCTGCCTCTGTGTGTATGTGTGTCATGAATAAATAAATAAAACCTTTGAAAAAAGTTGCACGTTTAGCTCTCGTTACACTTCTACGGGACAGGCTGACTCACACTGACTTCGGGCTGGTAGACGTGCCCTCCGGCCCGCGCCGCGCACCCTGGACAGGGCTTCTCTCGGGCCAGTCGCTCACTCGCACACTCCCGTTTGCACAACCAGGGAACTCTACGACCTCATAGCTCTTTGGTTTTTAATTTTAAGCTGGAACGCACAGACTCGCCGAGGCAACTCGAAATTGCGGTCCACGCAAAGCGAGAAAAGGTGGCGGGAAGACACAAACACAAGCAGAGGCAGAGGCAGAAGGAGAGGCAGAGGCAGACCTCTCCGGTGCCTGTCGGTCAGCCCTGCCGGGGGTGCTGCGAGCCGGCGCAGACAGCGGGCGGAGGCGCCCCGGCGAGCGCCCCGGGTCTGAGGGAGCGAGACGGACAGCCGCGGGGGCAGGTGTCGGGAGCAAAGCCTTTTCAGCTTCTGGGGCGACCAAGCCGAGGGCGGAGGGGCAGGGGTGGGGGCTCTGCGGCCGCAGCGGCAAGGGAGGACCGGTACCTTAAGGATGCCCCTCATCTTCGCCAGAAAGGGGCGGAACTCCTCGAGGGACACCTCCGGATAGAGCTGGCTCCGCAGCAGCTCCTCCGTGATGCCCTGGTGCCCGTAGAAAGCTTCCTGGGCCAGGCCGCTCAGCAGCCCGCCCAGCGCCTTGGAGCCCTCGAGCTCGGCCGCCATGCTGGCCGGCAGCCCCGCCCCCCGCAGCCGAGCGCGGCCCCGCTACGGCAGCCGGGAGGGGCCCAAAGGCCTTGGGCGAAGGCGCGAGGGCGGACCGAGGCGACGTTCCTACCGGAGGTCGGCATTGGCAGCTCCCAGCTTTGATCTGCTAAACCCACCCCCGTCTAGGCTGCCACCGCGGAGCTAGGCATCCAGTTCCAGAAGAATCACTTTATTTATGCAGATTCCCTTCATCACGCCAGGGCCTACCGAAAGGAAAAAAAATCACTTGGCGGAGATCACTGGTGATGGGGAGCTAGCCTATGAAAGTGGCAATCTGACTTTCGGATGGCTGCATCTCCTTTGAGGCCTTGCCAACCCACTAACTGAATAGGGTCTATCACTCATATCTAATCTCTGCCTAATCATTACCTGCCCACCTTTTATCCCAGAAAATTTAACTATCCCCTGATAATATAATGTGTTTGCTAAAGATTGTTAGTTGCCTTTTTATATTTATGTGTCATGTCTTTCTGGCTGGATTAATGGCTTTGATCCAATGCTCCTTTCTAGAACAAACATTTGGCTAACACTTTCTTTACAATCCTGAAATGAAATGCATAGATCATGTAACTTTCTTTTTTTTTTTAATTTTTATTTATTTATGATAGTCACATAGAATGAGAGAGAGAGAGGCAGAGACACAGGCAGAGGGAGAAGCAGGCTCCATGCACCGGGAGCCCGATGTGGGATTCGATCCCGGGTCTCCAGGATCGCGCCCTGGTCCAAAAGGCAGGCGCCAAACCGCTGCGCCACCCAGGGATCCCTCATGTAACTTTATACCCGTATAGTTTTCAAAATATATATATATATAATAATATAAAATATATATATATATTATTCACCCATGGAAAGAAATGAAGTACTGATACATGCTACAGCATGGATGAATCTTTAAAACATACTAAGCGAAAGAAGACAGACACAAAAGGTGAGATAGTGTATGATCCTATCTGCATGAGACATCCAGAATAGACAAATCCATGGAGACAGAAAGATTTAATGGTTGCCAGGGACCTAGAGGAAGGGGGAATGGACCAGTGGGTACCAGAGTTCTTTCAGGGGTGATAAAAATGTTTTAGATAGTGGTTATGGTTACACAACTTTGTGAATATACTAAACCCATCAAATTATACACTAAAATATGAAGTTCAGGGGGATCCCTGGGTGGCTCAGCGGTTTAGCGCCTGCCTTCTGCCCAGGGCATAATCCTGGAGTCCTGGGATCGAGTCCCAAATCAGGCTCCTGCATGGAGCCTGCCTCTCCTCTCTCTCTCTCTCTCTCTCTCTCTCTCACACACACGAATAAATAAAAAATAAATAAAATAAAAGATGAATTTCAGGGACGCCTGGGTGGCTCAGTGTTTGAGCATCTGCCTTCAGCTCAGGACATGATCCCGGGGTCCTAGGGCTGAGTTCTGCATCAGGCTTCTCACAGGGAGCCTGCTTCTCCCTCTGCCTATGTCTCTGCCTCTCTCTGTGTGTCTCTCATGAATAAATACATAAAATCTTTAAAAAAAATGAATTTCATAGTAAATGAATGTTATTTCAATTTAAAAATCAATAATGATTGATTTATCAAATAAATTTTCAATAAAAATCAATAATGACCTAATTATAATTTAGAATAAAAATAGAAGGAAATTAATTTATAAAAATGTATTTCAATATGTAAGTGTTGGGGCACAACTACACTAGGTGACTAGGAGACATGGGGTAGCCAAATGCCCGCAGCTTTATGTTGAACCTCCTGTGACTTCTACAAATGCAAATTATTGACACAGGTGTCCTGTATTGGTGACTCCAGAGAGAAAAAGAGAGAGCAGTTGCCTCTGGTAACCTGATCTTCTGAAATGTAAACAAAGGTTAGTAATGTTCAGAACAAAAAACTTTTTTCCTCACTTTACCCAGTAACCAGGAATGTTCTGTGTATATTAAAGCTATGGCAAGAACATAAACACAATGGTATAACAGAGTTCAATTGCGGGCTTAGACAATAAATACATGTAGGTTTTTCACCTAAATGAATGTCCCCCTATATGGCAGGATGTCTTATACTCCTGGCCCCTGTCCAGCCTGGGCCATCCCACCCCTCCATTGTTGTGACAACTAACATCCCCTCTCAAGGTAGTGCTACCTTGTTGCTGTGTTGAGAATCACTGATCTAGACCGTTTTAATGAATTTGCCTGAAGTCAAGAGGCATTCTTTATAATAGAAAAGATATTTATCTTTTCCTAAAGGAATTAATTTTCTGAAAGGCAAATTCAGAGATGCTATTACAGCTCCAAGAAGACCAAACTTAGAGATAAATTATACATTGTGTTAAGTATCCTGTAAGAATTGCAGAGAGTGGCCAACATAAGGGGGAAGAAGTGTGGTTGAGTAGAAACAGCACTTGTAAGCACACGATTTTCAAATTACCCACCAGAAAGTCTGTACCATTTATTTCCATGAAACCTTACTAACACTGACTAATATTATTCTATATAATCTTTGCCATATGTTAGATGAGAAATATTATTGTTTTCATTTGTATTTCTTCAATTTTGAGAATAAATACTTTTTTAAAAAAATTGCATTTATTGGGATCCCTGGGTGGCACAGTGGTTTGGCGCCTGCCTTTGGCCTGGGGCGTGATCCTGGAGACCCAGGAACGAATCCCACATCGGGCTCCCGTGCATGGAGCCTGCTTCTCTCTCTGCCTGTGTCTCTGCCTCTCTCTCTCTGTGTGACTATCATAAATAAATAAAAAATTTAAAAAAATTTAAAATTGCATTTATTGGGATCCCTGGGTGGCGCAGAGGTTTGGCGCCTGCCTTTGGCCCAGGGCGCGATCCTGGAGACCCGGGATCGAATCCCACGTCGGGCTCCCGGTGCATGGAGCCTGCTTCTCCCTCTGCCTGTGTCTCTGCCTCTCTCTCTCTCTGTGACTATCATAAATAAATAAATAAAAAATTAAAAAAAAAACACTAAAATTGCATTTATTTATTCATGAAAGGCACAGAGAGAGAGAGAGAGGTAGACACACAGGCAGAGGGAGAAGCGGGCTCCATGCAGGGAGCCCGACATGGGACACAATCCTGGGTCTCCAGGATCACGCTCTGAGCCAAAGGCTCAACCGCTGAGCCACCCAGGTGTCCCAATGAATGCTTTTTTATATATATTTATTGACTACTTGTATTTCTTCCCACGTTCCTGGCAATTCTCTATAGAGTTTCTTCCACTTCAGTGATTTCTAAGAGCTCTTATCCAAGGGGAATATCAATGTTTTCCACCTATATTGAGATATTTTCCTCAGATTTAGATGGTTAGATCTGCCAACCTGCATAGAAAAAGTCTGGAAGGTTATTCACCAACATGTTACGGAGTGTACCTCTGAATAATTGAGAATGATTTTTTGTTTGTTTTTGTTTTATTGTTTTAACAATTATTATTTTTTTAAGATTTTATTTATTTATTCATGAGAGAGAGAGAGAGAGGGGGGGGCAGAGACACAGGCAGAGGGAGAAGCAGGCTCCATGCAGGGAGCCCAACATGGGACTCGATCCCGGGTCTCCAGGATCAGGCCCTGGGCTGAAGGCAGCGCTAAACCGCTGAGCTACCCGGGCTGCCCTGTTTTTGTTTTAGAGAAGGAGAAAGGTGGGAAGAGTCAGAGGGAGAGGAAGAGAATCCCAAGAAGTCTCCATGCCCAGCGCAGATCTCACAACCCTGAGATCATGGCTGAGCTGAAATCAAGAGTCAGACACATAACTGTCTGAGCCACCCAATACCCCGAGAATGGTTTTTATTTGCTTCTTTCTGCTTACGTGATTTTTCTAAATGTCTACAGTGTACATGCAATACTGTTGCAATAAAAAGTTAGATAATGAAAATATAAAATAAGCAATATGTTCTAAAATCAAAATCCTTTTAATAAAAAGCTTTAAAGAACACAGGTGTTCTCCATGACTGACAAAGCTATGCACCCTACATAGTGTTTCTTGAATGTTTTGATAAATTAAGATCCTCTCATAATCCAATAGAAGCCTCAGATACTTTCCCCCCCCAAGTATTTACACACCAAGTGTAGCCTACAATATATAGGGGTCAATTTATCCTTCTGAAGTCTTTCTATAAATCTGTTTTTACTGGCCCTATGAACTCCCTCTCAGTACTCCCAGGTCTAATTAAAACTCACAAGAAATAGATAATTCTTTTAGAAGCAGAGGAAACGGGCTGGCTCAGTGGTTTAGCGCTGCCTTCAGCCCAGGGCCTGATCCTGGAGACCTGGGATCAAGTCCCACATCAGGCTCTCTGCATGGAGCCTGCTTCTCCCTCTGCCTGTGTCTCTGCCTCTCTCTCTCTCTCTCTCTCTATCTCTCTCTGAGTCTCTCATGAATAAATAAATAAAATCTTAAAAAAAAAAAGCAGAGGAAACTACTATATATCACTACTACTGTTTAGCTCTTAACTCATTGTATGTAATACCTGGACATACGACTGCCTGCTTGAGCCTACAGCAAGTTCTAAAACACTAATGTAATCAATGAAAGAAAATTATCCCATGCCACCAGGAGCTGCTTTTGCCATTACCAGTGCACCTGTTCCAGGTTGATTGACAGTTGCATTGCTGGAATGCCTTTCAAACAAAAGTATCAAAGCCACAAAGCTTTATTTTATTAAATTTCAGAACACAACCTGTGTTGCAGATAACCAGGGCACAGTCCCATTAGAAGGACTGCCTAAGGCAAAGCAACAGCAAAGAAAATACCCTGAAGCCTTGGCTCAAATGGAAAGTACAAGTACCCAAACAGCCTTCCCGTCTCCATTCTAAGTTCCATTAAGCAATTGGTCACTTCTCTTAAACCACACCTTCTATGGCTCACAGGCTGCTTGATCCTAAGCCAGAAATGGGTGTTTTTGTAAAGATTTTCCATTTCTGAAAATGTTAAAATAAGAAATGTGTACTGAAATAATGTGCAAACACAAGAGCCCAAAGTTTTGCAATAAACTGTCCCTGC